AGATTATTAGTGCTGGATTATTAGTACTGTTTCTCCAAGAGGGACATATTCAACAAGGGACCTCCAGAAGCCCATGCCATCAACACTCCAGTGACCCTGTAACAAAACATCCAGAGACATGACCCACTGCCTGTATACAGAGAAATGCCCACACTGCCATTGCCCCACCAATCTGACTTCTCTGACCTTAGGTCTGGTGCTCCCTTACAGCCTAAACATGAGGCAGTGTGCATGCTACAGCCTCCTCTCCCTAACTTCACTGAACTCAATTTCTGCCACTGCCTGGCAGCTAGCCCAGAGAAGGAGCCATCTTCACAGCTGATCTCCAGCCCTTTCTGTTCTCCAACGCTCCTGTTAGCACATGGACCCAAGTGGTCACCCCCGAGAGCATGTTTTCCCCACTTCCATCCATGTGGACCAGATCCAGGTGACAACACATCCCTCTCCAGACAACAGTATGCATCATGAGCTGTCTGGGGATCTGTTGAGCACTACAGGAAGATCCTGAGTCAATCCAAGAGCTGCCCAAGGCCAAGGAAGCCATGACCTGGTCTAAGGTATACAGGAAATTAAAGACAGGGATGTGACACAGCTCTCCTGACCCTCAACTTGTGGCAGCTGCTGGCAGGCAGAGTGTGGGTAGGTAGCATAAGGATCTGCTCCACACCTGAGTAGTATAACTGCATTTCAAGGCCATTAACAACCATTTACCCGTGCCCAGAGACAATGCTGCACATGTCCTTGGGCTCTGTGACGCAGGCAGGAGCAGAGCAGCATCCCTGCAGCCTCCACGTGCCACTGCTTGGAAATGACATACCCAAACCATCTCCACAGGTCTGGCTTTTGCTGGCTTACCATGGATGAGCCATCACCTATTCAGATGACAAGGACACGAGATATCACTGCACCTGCCTTGTGCTTCCCAGAGAGGTGCAGGCCACAGTGACTCACAGAGCTACTTCAGAAATGAATCTTAGGAGCAGCCAGCTGTGGGCAAGGATGCCTCGGTCTTCAGAGCTGAACACGATGCTCCAAAGCATGGCTGTCCTCTTAGCTGTGACCCACACAGCCACTTGTAGAGACTGGCTAGATCCCCCCCCACCCCTGAGGTCACCGATGCCTCTTGAGGGTGTGTAATGCATAGCCAGGGTGGCAGATGTACACTGAAACAAACCAAACCAACCAAAGCTTCTGCTGAGACAGACACAAGCAGCAGGGCAAGACCAGAGCCATGCCTGCCCAGAGCACCCTGCAACCTTAATAGCCTCTCTTTTGAGAAAGAGAATCCTATGTAAGTGTTTAGCATCTGTGCTGCCTTGCAGCAAGACCTTGCACAGCTTGACCCCAGGCTGAGTATCCAGCCAGCTGCCCCTCTTGCCTTTGCTTGAGGCAGTTGTAAGAGAGAAATGAATGCAGTTTTCAGTTCAGCTTGAAGATGAACATCATCCAGCCCTGGTTGTTCATCTGCCTGCCCTGCAGTCTCCCCTACTAGCACTTTGATATAATACAAATCCTTGCATCTGCAAGAGGGTTTCTGGCAGGGCAGCCTCCCCAGGCTCCTCTCACTGATGCCAGAAATGTTAATTAGAGCACCACAGCCTCTCCAAACCCTGCTCTCACACAGGAGCACCTACTCATGAGCTAGAAAAAGGATTTACTACTCATTGTGATTATTCTCACAAGCTGCTTCTGAACCCATCCACCAGTTCCCCTTCAAGGTCTCCTTTGGGCACAGCTCCCTGTTTTGCAAGGCAACACTGAAAAGCCTCCCTGACCCTGCAGGGGCAGTCTTGGCTCTCTTTGGACTTTGTCATTTCCTCAGTCATGTGGCACGTGTGCCCCAAGCCTCCAACATCTCATCCTTCAGGCAAAGTCATCCTTACTCTTCCTTGGGAAGATGCAAAGGGCGGTGGAGTGTGGGAGCAGCCCCAGGACAGGGCCCAGCAGGGCTGTGAGGTCTTTAAACCTGAACAGTCCAGAATTTGCCTAGGCACATCCCTGGGCCAGCCAGGAGGCAGCCCATCGGCTTGGGGCAGGACTGGCTGGAGGTGCAAACTCTGTCCCAACAGAAAACTTCTTGGGACTCCACAGTTCACCCATTCTCAGCAAAACCCACCTGCATCCATGTCCCTCTCACCTCTTTCCTGCCACATAGGCACCCCCAGAGGGGTTTCTGTTCACTCAGCTCTTCAGAGGTACATCTCTCCCCCACCTCTGGGCAGCTCCCCTCCAAGCACTTTCAACATCAAAGGTGCTGTTCACAGGTGTTTCAAAACAAGCTGGGTGTACTACATCCACCTCTGTTTACAGGGACACGCACTGGCCCTTGTTGTTTCCTTCAATCCTGTCACCTTTCCTTATGGGAGAGGCACAAGTCGCACACACGTGAGGATTTCAGCCCTGCCACACCGACCTCAAGCTTTCTCCTCCCGCAGTCACATCTTGGGATGCAGTTCCCACCCATGCTCTTGTTGTCAGTGCCCGGAAGTAGCTGAAAACCAGCTGAGCTGCAAAGAAGTGGAGGACTCAGGCTGCATTTGGAGCAAGGCAACACATCTACCCAGGAAGATGAGAAACCGGTGGCTCAGGATGAGGCACAATGATTAGATACAGTCATTGCATAAGACCTCATAAAGCAACCACAAGGAGTTTTCACATTCAAGACCTGCCCTAGAGCATCTCTGGAAAGCTCTGTATCTAAGCATGCAGACAGAAAGGTCCTATCTTAGATCTGACTCATGGCTGCCACTTCTGGCTCTTGCCTCGTCCCATGCCTGGCATTTCTCACCACCCTGCTCTGCCACAGGGCCCTGTGCTCTGGGAAGGACCTGTTTTAATTGCACAAAGAGCTCAACAACTCCTTATGCACAACCTCAATGGGAGCACCCAATTCATGCAATGGCATCAGCAGTGTCTACACTATCTTAGCAAGCAAAGATAAGGGGACAGGAGTGTATTGGGAAGAGGCTGACAAATGTATGTACCTGCCCGCTCTCCTTGACCCAGTTGTCATTTCTTCATTACTACCATCATGCCTGGATGTGCCTGCCAGCCAAAAGCAATTAGCTGGAGAATTCAGGTCCTTTGTATAAGCATCTGTTGGCCAAGAGCAGGGCACGAGGATCATCCCTCCCCTACAGACCAGCAACTCCAGGGTGTTGGCCAGCTCTGCTCAGTCACCTGGGGGGGTGGGAGGCCATACCAGGCAGCACAGCATCCCTTGGGTCAGGCAAGGTTCACAGAGAGCAACAAGCAACTGAGCCACCTCCTGCCCTTTGGACAGTCTCCATTTCAAGCACCAGGTGCTACCTGTGCTTTCAGGATGAAAGACAAAACCTGAGAGGTGGTTACAGTTCCCATCCCACAGAACAGCCCTACCCCTTGGGTGTAAAGGTGTCCAGCTTCTCACAACAAGGAGGAGAGGAGCAGAAGATGAAGTCAAGCACAGCTAGGTTTTCTTCTACAGAAGGGCATGGACAGTGGTGGCTGTGGTCACAAAAGAAGGCAGATACCCCTATAGAGCGATGGGGTTTTGCGGCAAATGCTGTAGGACACTAGAGCACCTCCTCCAACAGAAGGGCAGTCTTCTGGAGACACTTGGGTTTATCATGCATCTCTAGCTCCATGCAGCACCATACCTACAGGAGACCACAAACATTATCCCATCTTTCCAGGTTGCCCAATCTCTTAACTTGTGCTTTGTCACCTCTTCTTCCTTATTCATGTAACTCTGAGTGGGAAGCTGAGCTAGAGAACCCCAAAGGCTACTTTCCATCTGCACCTACCATAACCACATGCCACAGCAGATCCCCAACTCCCAGTCCCACACTTGCATCTCCCACTATGTGACATACATCACAGTGCACCGGGTGCCTTCACAACATCTAAGGTGAAACTAAACCATGCAGTGGGCTGAGCTCAGGCACAGCAGGACAGAAACACATGGTCTCTAACCCTGAGCTCCACATCTTCAAGGGACAGGTACAGGATGTTTCTAAGATGAGCCCAGAACCCGTTCATAGCTCTACTCGACACCAACATCACAACTAACTGAAAGACTGGTTCTGGTGCACCACAGGATCTCTCCCGTCACCAGTTTCTGCATGCTCCACAGGAAAAAAGCACTCACCCCATCAGGCACAACATCCCTGATAAATACCCAGCTTCAACCCACAGACACACACCTCAGTGAGGAAAAAACACTACCACCAATGAAAACCTCAAAGGTTCTTCCCATGGTCATCAACCTCTGCCTACCCTACAATTTTGCCACTTCATTCCAGGCTTAATAAAGACCCACATAAGCACATCCCAATCTTCTTCACAACTCTGAACAGCTACAGCCATAATAAGGAGAAGTTCCACTCCACAATGGCCAACTCCTCATTCTGTCCCATTGTCAGGGCAAAACAGTACATTCCCATCCACACTAATGCTGTTAACTCAGGTACTCACACAAGGGCTCAGCTAGAAGTGCTGCATAGCCTAAGGTCAAGACTGAGCTATTTCTGCTACAAACCACACCATACCAGCAGTAGTCCTCTGCTTTGCAGAGCTGCTCAAAAACAGTGGAGGGTGAGAATAAAAGCAAGCACAGCCTCCCTCCTAACCTCACCTGGCCTCTGCCAGGTCCCAGGAAAGTGCCTGAGAACACTGCAATACCAGTCATTATGTGACACATGAAGGTGAGCAAGCATCAGAGACATTCATGTCTCCCAAGTGCCTAAGGCTGGGAAAGAGTCTCAGACACCCCACAGATGCTCAACACACAAAACCACACTGAAGTTTTCAGAAGTCATTCATGCCTTTCATTAACTAGAAGAAACAAGAGAAGCAAGACCAAAAAGGTGGCTGACAGCTTTCCTACAGAGGAAGAGACCTCACACTTCCCAGGTATACACAGGCTTCTTGTGCAAGGCAACAAACCACCCTCCCTTCCAGCCCTCCAAGTCAAAAGCAGCCAGCTCCTGGAGTAAAAACACCACTGCAGCCAGGACAAGTCAGTTCCAATAATTTATTCATTGCAGAATTTGAAGTACACCAGGTACTTGAAGCTCCCCAGAATAGGCAACAGGAAGAATACTTGGTACAATAAATTTCTATTAAAAGAGTTAAACATGTAAAATAACATGGTAACCTCTCACTCTTGCTACAAACAGACCAGACCAGCCCTGAGCACAGGTTAACATCAACAGCTTCAGTTTCTGCAGTCAGTTGTGGTTAGAACCTTTACAGCCCCACACCTGGGGGGAGCAAGGCATCTATCCTCACAGCTGAGGCAAGTGGTGCTCTTCTCAGGACAGTTCTTCAGGAGCTTGGCTTCACAGGATGTACAGAGCCTGACTTCCATAAGGTTCAATCTTGGTGAGCACACCTGGAAAGCTGGCCCCAGGTTTGGTGTACAAGTGTAAAAGGAGTTCTTCTGAAGATGAGCCTTCAAGTACTTCAGGATCAGACATCGGTAATGCGTGTAGAGCCAAAAGAGGACAGAGCCCCAGACTGCTGCTTTTCATGTGCTAAGATAGGTTTAAACCACATGTCTTGAGGTTGTTCCCAAACTGTGCACAGTGAAGGCATGCTTTTGCAAGACACTTCTTTGCAACCATGTTAAGACAGTCTCCACCTACTCTAGGTCTCCAGTTTTATACTAGAAAAAAATCCCATACCAAAAAGATTTAAGTTTTGCTCTTCAGTTTTCACATTCCCATTTTCAGGAATTGTTCATCTTCTGTTGAGAAGGAAGATGGGGTCTGAAGCCACATGCCTGCAAACAGCAGGCAACACAAGCAGCACCAGAATGAAGAAAGCCCATATTACCCATCTGAGACTGTTATTCCACTTAAATTGGCTTTAATTAATCCAGGAGATCACTGTATTTCTCTAGAGTCTGCTTCTCCAGTTCCAAGAGCTTTCCATACAGTTTCTCAGCAGTTTCTTCATCGACATCAAACTGGAAGACAGTAAGAATAGCACTGTGAGACATCGCTTTGGTGGCAGCTAGCAGAGACACTGAAGCCAGCTCTGGGGATAGGCAAGGTGCATCTCCAGAGCTTCCACAATCACAGTGAGGCAACTAAAGGCATCTGTCACAAGCCAGAACATGTTTTGGAGAAGCATCATTATACACTCATCCTTCATTGTCTTCCAAACTCCAGCCTGAGCCAGGAGTTACTCTAGGAAGCCTTGCAGATAACCCCACATCCCTCCTTACTGCTCAGCATTCAACACTGTTTCCACTCCAGCCACAGGACACCCTTAGCACCAACCCTTCCATGGAAGGCAGATGGTAGACCCCTAGCCAAGCCCAACCCCCGAAGCAGAAAGCTGCTGCTCCATGTACCTTTCTGGGCTCCACATAGCTCTTGCCCAGTCCGGAAGTACAGCTGTGGTACTTGACAAGTGCGTCCAGGTGCTCTGGCTTCTGTTTGAAGAGCCACACCTAGGAAGAAACAGCCAAAACATGTACAAGTCCCATGCACACTGTCCCAACCAAGACTGCAACCAAGGACCCAACTGCCAATGGACACAGGAGAACACACCTCAGATGCTTTCACCACACAGAAGACTTGCTACCTAGAGAAATAGTTCTGAGCTGTCTCCTCTCAGCTGTGACCTGCCCAAGCCAACAGTAAAACATGTTTATGTCCCAGTGCTAAACCACTAAAGCGGTTCAACATGGCTAAACTTGCTCACTGCTGTACTTGAGGCACACTGTTACCAGCCTCCATTCCCTGTGCCTGCATGTCTGCCAGCAGGGAGAGCAGCACCCTCCTGACTGAGATGGAAGGAAAAGCCTTTTTCTAACAAAAATTATTTTTATGAAGGTATAAAGCATCACCTGCCAGATCAGCCCCATTCATAGCTGGTCCCCCAGCACTCACTGCTGCATGCTATTCAGGGCTGACACACATCACCCACCCACCAGCCTTACTGAGGGGCTCACTGCTCAGCAGACCCTGGAAGGAATACCAAAATCAAGTTGTGAAGTACTTACATGAGCTTCTGCTCCATTATGCGGAGTCAAAGTGTAAGTTTTGGCAAAAAAGCGGATCTGAGGGGAAAAGAAGCACATGACAATCTGTATTGTGGCCCAAGGTTTCTCTGGTCAGCCCTCCACAGCCCAGCCACACCAGATAATCTACCAGAGGCAGCAATGCTTCTAAAAGCTGACTACAGGTAATACCGCACGCTTATGACTAAAGCATCCCTCTATAACCACAAACTATGTTCTGGAGCCACCCACCGCATCAGCAAGCCTCGCTCCATGCTCCCACAAGGAGCTCACCCCCAGAGCAAGAGGCAACAGGCCACACATATACATTGCAGGCACCTCCTCTTGAATGGTTTCAAGAGCACAAATGGCAGGAGGCAGAGAGGATCTATAATACTGCCAGTGCTGAGGACAACTGAGAAGGCATTGCCTCTCTGCTGACAGGAGAAACGTGATCCGTGAGGATCAGCTTAAGCAGAAAGACCAATCTTGCAGCAAGAGCATCAAGGCTCAGAGCAGGCAGCCTTCAGGAACAGAACTGTAGTGAACCTGAAAAGGTGAAGTCCAGAGGAAGAAAGGGAAGGAAAGCTTTAAGAAAGCAGGGGAAACAGCAACAAAGAGCAGGAGGCTTTGCTTTCCAGAGAGACAGAGCGCAAGAAATGCTGCCTTCTAGAGGGATGAAAGGAACATGGTAGTTTTGTCCTGAGCTCTGCTACCACCAAAATGACGAAGAGTTTCACAAGCCAGAGCAAGCTGGGAAACTTAAGAGGAGCCTTGACAAATGCTGCTATGGCTGAAAAGCCGAGCCCCGGCTCTATGTACAGTGCTGTCCAGCACCAAACCTCCAAACTCAGCTTGGGAATTCAGGCCCCAAGGTGCCAAAAGGAAAGGTTTGCAGAGGGGCCAGCCTGCCTAATACAACAGAAGGAAGAGCTGTATAGCAGCATGGGTAGCAAGGAGACAGAAGCACACTGCACATTACTTGCAGAAGTATATGACACTCAACACTAAAATCAGCCAGGAGATCCACTCACCAACCACATGATGGGCATTAGCAGCTTCCACAGAAAAACTGGTAAAATTCTGTAGGTCATGTTAGACATAACAAGACCAGGACAAACAACACTGGAATACAGACCCTGCAGAGAAGAAACCCAATCAGTATGTAAATACATAACAATTAAAGAACAGAACATACTCCTTGCCTCCTAATACTTCTCAGCAAGAAGCTGAAGGTGACTATAGAGACCAGTTAACAGTAGATACTCCCCAAAATCATTAGTGAGTGATTAGATGTAGCAATTTCTGAAAGGCTCAAATTGGAGATTTTATGTTAAATCTGTGCCCATTGCAAGACCACCAGACTGATGTGATGGGAGGCTACACCTTCACAACCTCACACTGCAGTCTCCATGCAGCTCAACAGCAACAAAAGCAGTCATCCCAGAAATTACAGCCCACAGATCAAAGGTCACCTCACCTTTAAGAGAAGGGTTCAGCCTTCTAGGACCAAAACATTTTCTCCTGAAGTATTTCAAGAGTGTGATCACTATCACTGGACTAGGGCTGCAGCTTAGCAACAAAATCAAGCAATCCCCTATGACAGGGAAGGCAGGTCGCTCACACATTGTAGTGTGACAAACTTGAATAGCAGCATGGAGCCATCAGGACAGACAGCAGAGCCTGCATGTCAAGTGCTTGCAGGCAAAGCTGCCAGAGCAGCCTTGTTGCAACAGGCAGGTACACCTGAAAAGAGCAGCAGTTCTTTGCTCTTTAAGACAAATTATTTGGTCTAAAAAGTCAGCTAGACCTTGCAAGGTAGGGACCACTCCTAAAATTCTGCTTTCAGAAGTTTCTGACAAAAGCCCCAGAAGCAACATAAGGAAGTAGTTCTTTGCTGTGAGGGTGCTGAGGCGCTGGTACAGGTTGCCCAGAGAAGTGGTAAATGCTCCATCTCTGGCAGTGTTCAACACCAGTTTGGACAAAGCCTTGGGTGACATGGTTTAGTGTGAGACATCCCTGCCCATGGCAGGGGGGTTGGAATTACATGATCTTAGGGTCTTTTCCAACCCTAACTACTCTATGATTCTTCACTACACACAACAGCAGTTCAACTTTGGCCTCCATTCAGTTCTTAAATGTGCATTAAGGAATATATCAGTTTTCTGTGAATTAATGTAACCAAGTAACAACAATGTAATGATAATTATAAATAGTAGGAGCTCATTAGGTTTCTTCAGAGACGCAAACCCCATCATCACCTGCTTATTAAATTTCCTGTTCAGAACCACACTTGTCAGGTCAGTAGCATATTTGGAGGAACTGTATGATTCCTGCCCCTTGGCATGCTGATAGTCAGAGAGGCTGAAGGCAGACTCTCTAGCATTGCTGGAAGAGGTCCAGATGAGTCGTGAAGGCTTTTCGTTACCACAGAGTAGAGACTCAAGTTGACGAACCTGCAAAAGAATTGCTAACTTCCTTAACACCATGATTTTCAAGTGTTACAGTATAGCTTTACAGTCCTTAAAAGCTGTGAGCTATCTGAGCTTTCTTGGACAGTCTTCCCTACAGTAGCCAGAAGCGGCCACTGCTCAAGTACAGCTTCAGCCTAAGGAACATTCACAAGCAGCCACCAATCTCCTGCACAGCTCAGTTAAGCACTTCAGAATTTAACACAGCCAAGCCTTGGTATTCACCCTGGACAGAGAGAACTACATATAGCTTACCTCTATCCAGTGGTTAACTACAGCAATTTCAAACTTCCATTAACCTTGAAATGACTATCACCATTTATTGCTATTTAAACAAAGCCTGAGACCATTGCCCTGTCATTCATTATCTGCCAGGCTGCAGCTTGCATCAGCAACTGAACCTGTAAGATAGAACCAATTCACTACTACTACCTGAACCCATCTCTACTGACATCAACCAACAGGCCAAGGGCTCAATCTTCATATGCAGTCTCACCAGAATAAAGTGTCCAAAGAGGTTGGTGGCAAACACCTCCTGAAGTCCATCTCCATTCAGCCTGTCCGTCTGGGTCATTACACCTTCTGCAGTGGTCAGCATGTGAAGTAACTTCCTGGAAGCCAAAGACAGGAGATGAGCATTACTAGGATGCATCTACTGCTCTCCCACTTCAGCCCTTCAGAAGTATCCTTCACCTCACAGGCTCCATGCAGACTCTTTGGTTTCACCTTCAAGGGTTCTATTGAGCCATGGAAGAAAAAATTGCTTGGAAAAGCTTTTATCAGCCCTTTTATTTGCAAGCATCTCAATACTGACTAGACCAGAGGAGACTTGCCCCTTCTTTCAATGCATCACAATAAAGTACCATTAAAAAAAACCTAAAATCTTGCTCTTCCATTCCACAGTTAGGTAATACAGTCAAGCTCCACCGTGGAACTATGCCCTAGGGCCATGCTTAATTCAGGTAAGGAAAGCAATCTAATGTTCAACACCCCCAGCGACTGCTTTGGACACAATGCAGGTCATTTTCCTCCCTAACTCAACCTCCTCACTTTGCTTACAGAATAGCAATGCCTATACCAGCATCAAGTATTAGCTTCACAAAATACTATGATGTCCACCTGAGAACAACAAAAACCTGCAGTGGAACCAAAACACGAGAAAAGAGACCCAGTAAGAGCAACCTACACCTCCCCAGCAACACACCAGCATTTCTCACTCAGTACTTAATGCCAGGAACTGCAGGCTTTGGGTGAACTCTTGAACCCCCGTATGCACCAGGTCTCACACTAGAGATCAGAAACAGCACTGGGTGACTTAGAATACCGTGGCACTTCACCCAGCTGCCAAACCTACACATCCCACAGCAATGTGCTCTGTGTCACACTGGGAAAAGGAGAGAGGATCATCTTCAGCCCCGGACCCACAGGCATGCCTTGGCTATGATGCTGCCAGCACCACATACCACCCACAAACCAGGACTAGACCCCCCCAGAAACACCTCCTACCCGGTAAGGAGACCATGCCAGAGTGCCTTGAAGTTCACATGTGGATTGGGCATTATCCCAGCATTGAGGTAGACGAAGTCCAGCCGCTGAAACCTGAGTGGGAAAGAGCAGAGGGGTGAGGAACAGAGGGCGGACAAGGGGGTCCGGTGGGGCAGAGGATAGCGACCCAATACCTGCAGCGGAGCTCACGGGCAACACGCAGCACGGAAGCCAGGCTACCCAGGTCCACTTCCACGGTGGAAACCTGAGCGGCGGGGTGGGTTTCCAGGATGAGGTCTCGCGTGGTTTCGCTCTTCTGGGAGTTGCGGCAGGCGATACAGAGATGGATACGGCCATCCTCTTCCAGCAGCCGCCGGCACAACGCCAACCCCACGCCGCTGCAACAGGGTACGGTGTCAGATATAACGCTGGCGGGCAGGGACGAGCCGAGGGCGGGCCGGGCCGGGCCGGGTCGGGTCAAGCCAAGGCTGTTCCGGCCCGGCCCGCCCCACCCCGCACTGTTACGGCTCCTCCATCACCCGGTGCCCGCCGCTTACCTGCTGGCACCGGTCACCAGCACCACCCGCTCCATCGCGCCCTCCCGTAGCTGGTCCCACCGCCGCCCCCCTGCGCTTTAAACGCTGCCCGCCCGTGACGCCCCGCCTCGCTCCGCCTTTCCCGCCAATCGGTACGCGGCAAGGGGGCGGGGCCAGCGCACACGGTGGCGTGATGGTGGGAAGAGCGGAGGGGGGCGGGCCGCGATTGGACACGCCCCCATACAACCCCTGACGTACAGCCACGGCTGGCCACTGAGGCCACGCCTCCCAGTGCTGGTCACGCCCACGCCGCTGAGCTGCTGCCCTTACTCATAGCGTCACAGGATCACAGGATGACGGGATCGTTTAGGTTGGAAAAGACCTTTAAGATCATCAAGTCCAACCATTACCCCAGCACTGCCGAGACCATCACTAAACCATATCACTAAGGGCCTCATCTACACGGTTGTGAACACTTCCAGGGACAGTGGTTCCCTGGCAGCCTGTTCCAATGCCTGATCACCCGCTCTGAAGAAATCTTCCTAATATCCAATCTAAACCTCCCCTCGTGCAGCTTGAGGCCACTGCCTCTTGTCCTATCGCTTGTTACTTGGGAGGAGAGACCAACCCCCACCTCACTATCCTCCTTTCAGGCAGCTGTAGAGAGCAGTAACATCCCCCCTGAGCCTTCTCGTCTCCAGGCTAAACAACCCCCATTCCCTCAGCCATTCCTCACAGGACTTATGCTCCAGGCCCTTCACCAGCTCTGTTGCCCTTCTCTGGACCCGCTCCAGCACCTCAATGTGTCTCTTGTGAGGGCTCCAGAACTGAGCTCCGGTTTCAAGGTGCAGCCTCACCAGCATCAAGTACAGGGGCATGATCACTGTCCTGGACCTGCTAGCTACGCTATTGCTGGTACAGGCCAGGATGCTGTTGGCCTTGTCTGCCTGGGCACAAGCTGGTCCTCTACCCTCCCATCCTTTGCCACAGAGGGACATTCCACAGAGGAACGAAAGTGCCACCAGGTCACTATTTCCTGGTGCTGCAGAGTCCTGAGTGCACTGACCCTGCCGGAGACCTCAGCTGCAGCCCTGCTCCTGCAGACACAGCAGCCGCCAGCTGCTCTCCAGGCACCCTAGCATGCTATTCAGCCCTAGGGCCATGCACACCAGGTACAGAACACCCAGGCACAGAGCCCCAGGGCTCAGGTCAGTGGGAGGTGCAGTGCTCACAGGGCACAGGTGCCCCTTTCCAGCCTGGTGCTCCCAGCTGATGGCTTGCTGAGACAGGCTGGGAGAGGCCATGATGCACCCTGAGCAGGGAGAGGGCATTGAGGGCAGAGGCAGATGGATGCCAATTCCGTGCCATGAACAAGGCCTGCCCTCGCTCTTGCTTCAGCCACAGAGCACCATTCTGCCACATGCTACAGTCTCAGCAAGGGGGAGAGGTAGAGGGAAAAAACCTCCTCAGCCACAGCTAGCAGGATCATGTGTGAGGAGCCAATTAGCCCCTCCACAGAGCACAGCCCCCTACCCCTGTCCCTCCCCTCCCAGACCCACTGTCCCACCTTGGTCCATGCTGATGGACATCTGATATGGATGCTGAGCCTCAGACTGCCCTCCCTGTCACCCAAAGAGACGGGCAACTTGTATGGGTCACTTTGAGGGTCTCTTGAGCATTCTTCCTCCATCTCTTACGCTGTTACCTGCATGCACTCCCCAAGCTCCCCCCACAGAGTGCAGCCCACAAGCCCCCAGCCAGGCGGGTACTGGGCAGGCCCCCAGGGGTCCTCACAGAGGAGGAGAGCTGACTTCTGAAGTGCTGCAAGGAAACCATGCAACCAGATTCACGTAGCAAGTGTTTCTTCAGCGGGTTTGCCCCTATATATAGGTGCATCTACTGAATATATACATGCCTTAGTAATAGTATAGTGGAAACTGTGCCACGCGTGAATTGATGGTGCTGAACTAATGCATACAAAAGTATGGAGGGGTCCATGTACCCTCTAAGTACAACGTTTCTCCTGTCTGGTCACAGGAGGGTCCAGTTCTGGGTCATGGCAGGTAACCTGTTGGGGCTCCTGCAGGGCACATGGCTCTGGCACCTGCCCAGTTTGCTCATGGAGCTGCTGGATTCAGGGGCATGGACCGGTGCCAGACTGCTGCCGGATGCTCAGGGCAGCAAAGTCAAGCCCCAGCGCTCCAGCTGAGCTGTGACCTCTGGGCCCAGAGCCATGGAGGGACGGGGTGCCCACTGCTCCATGCACACGGGCTGTTGCAGGCTTGGGCACCAGCGAAAGCTCTGCTATGTGCATTCCTCTCCTGGTAGGTGAAGACGCAGGAGAGGAGGACCGGTCTATTTCCCCTTGGAGGTGAAAGGTGCTAACATCCTGCTGCCAGCTGCTGTGCAAGCACCTGCGGGGCATCCAAAATGCATTTCATGGGCAGTTGAGCAGCTCTGGAGCGCTGTGGTTGTGATGAACGGTTGGGAGTAGGTGAGAAGTCAGTAAGAGGATGTCCTCTTGGCTTGCCTTGTGTTGGGCAGGCAGCAAGGAGCTGCAAGTGCTGTCAGGCTTCTCTCTGTGCAACCAGGGTCTGGCTGGCAGGGACGGAGCTTCCTCCCCCTCCATGTGACGTGTCCAAAGCCCAAAATGTCCAGAGAGTTTTTGGTTTTGCCCTATAATTGCAGTCCCCAGTCCTCCTCAAGCAGGTAGTGGCTGCTAGACAGTCCCTGCTCCAACACACCCATACCCACATGCATTCCTTTTCCAGGCCTCACAAGTTTGCTGGGAGCTTCCACACAGAGAAAGTCCAGCTGATGTTCCTCCCCTCCGACCAGGGGAGAGAAGCCATTCTGTTCTGGTCACTGTCACCAAGAACACGCTGTGTCAATAAATAACCCTCATCATAGCCCACATTGCTCCCAGGCTCAGCTCAGCAAGTGAGCGGGAAGTCTGAGTTGTCCCACGCTGTGTCCTTCCTTGCTGCCCTTGGGGTTTTCCTCTGAGGCTTCACTGTACAATGAGAACAAGACCAGCTGCCCGGGTTTTATTGCTAAGTCCAAGTGAAGTGGCTTCAGTTTGCATATGGGGCTCCTCTGGGGATGGGGAGGGATGGGGACCGGGCTGGTGGGGAGCAAAGGGTCATTCTTCACTGGCTGACTCTTGGAGGAGGCGATGGATGTCCTGGAAGGAGGGACGGTCTTTAGTGTCCCGTCTCCAGCAGCTCAGCATTAGCTTATAAACTGAGTCAGGGCAAAGTGCAGGCTGGGGAAGGTAGGTCTTCAAAACAAGAGGCAAAGATGACAAAGGGAGAGAGTTACTGACATGGAAACAGAAAAGCAAACTGCTCCTGGGAAGCCCCATTTCCTCATGCACCAGGGCAAGAGGGCTGTGCTGCTGTGTATTCAGGGGGAAGGGAACCCCCAGATGGCACAGTGGGGCCTGGGGACACCTGCTCATGCCTCCCAACCTATGTGGGTCAGCAGGCAAGCAGTGCTTTGGGCTGTGTGAAATGCAGGGTTTGCCATGCAGGACCCTTTCCAAAGGAGCTCTTGTCCCATAATTCCCCCATAGCCAAGGTCAGTATCTGATCACCTTGAAGTCTTTCCCCAGGTCCCTGGTGTCCCAGATGCACTGCTACTTGTCCTGTCCCATCCTGCCCCGTTCCATCCCAACCCATCCTGTCACATCCTGTCCTGTCTTGTCCCATCCCATCCCATCCTGTCCCTACCTGCTTGCCCTGGTCCCGGAAGAACTCGCCGGTGTTCTCAATGACCTGCTCATCGGAGAACTGGGAGTAGGGCTGCTCCCGGCAGAGTGTGAAGGTCTCCCACAGCGTCACACCGAATGCCCACACATCACTGGCCGTCGTGAACTTGCCCTGCAAGAGGGAGCAGAGTGGGGCTGGGCATGGGCATTATCCTGTCCTTCTCCATAGGCCCGACAAGCACAGGTTTTGAAACCTTTCTGCATGCTTCAGCTTCCAGATTGGTGCCCAGAGTGGACCAGCTTGGTCCTGCAGACGTGCTCTGTGCCTGGGGCCAGACTCTGGAGAGATCTGGCTCTGACTTGCAGCAACTGCTCTAAGAGCTAAGGCTTAGTAAGGACCCAGTTCCCTTCAAAGATAAAAAGCAACCCTACTCCCTCTTTCAGGTCTGACCATGGCCAGTAGAAAATGTCAAGCATCCTGCTCAAAAGCTGGGCACCAGGACACCCAAGATCAGTGTAGTCCCCCCATCCTGCCTTGAAAAAGCTGCTACCACTCCTGCTTTCTGCATGCTTCACCCCAAAGCTGGGCTTCAGGAAGGAGAGACTTCCCCATCCATTCTTCACCCACCAGCCTGAGAAAGAAGCTGAGGTTAGCCCGTGTCCATCAGAGGAGCTGAGTCCCCACATACCAGCAGGATGCTCTCCCAGGACATCCACCGGATAGGGAGCACTGCCCGCCCCTGGATGCGGTAGTAGTCCCCACTGTAGAGATTCCTGCTCATGCCAAAGTCAGCTATCTTGATGGTGTACCGCTTCCCTACCAGGCAGTTGCGAGTGGCCAAGTCTCGGTGCACGAAGTTCAGGGAGGAGAGGTACCTCATGCCTGAGGCTATCTGGGTGGCCATGAACCGCAGGTCACTGTAGGTGGCAGGAGCGGACAAGGGAGGACTGAGGTGGTAGGCAGGATGGCAAGCGGGGTGCCCCCCGGGGTGCCTGGAGCAGGCAGCCCTGTCCCCCCTACCTGTCCCAGGTGGCACTACCTGACAGATGGCACTTGGCTGGCAGGGGGGCTGTCTGCTTGCTGTCGGGACAGGAACTGGTTGAGGTCTCCATTCTCCATGTACTCAGTGATCATGCAGAGCGGGTCATCCGTGATGCACACTGCCAGCAGCCGGATGATGTTGGGGTCCTTCAGCCGTGACATGATCTTGATTTCCTTCAGAAAATCATTCCTTTCCGGAACAGAAACCACACGGATCGGATAGACAGACCCAGAGAGGCACGGAGGTGTGCATGGACCAGCTGAGCATGCTACCCACCCGCCCAAGCCTCGTGGGGAACCCTGCGGGTCCCCTCCCCTGGGACTGGGGATATAAAGGGAGCCTTGGACTGATCCACACTTGGCGGTGGGATGGGCAGATGTGGCACTGGGGAGCTTGTTAGGACCAGCAAGGACCACGAGTCCTGAACTGCAGCAGCAAAGCATCCGCAGAGAGCTCAGACATGTAACCCTCACAGTTGCACTGAGCTCCTGACCACTGAAGGCAGGGGATGCTTTCCAGGTGTCCTGGCTTTCCTGGAAGGCTCTAAGGGGGGGGGTGGGGGGTGGGGGGTATGAATACTGGAGTGTGTGCACCCCCCCAGCCTCATACCTGGCATTCTTGTTGGCATCTGCTCGCAGCATCTTCACAGCCACTAGCACAGGGCAGTTGGAGCTCGCATCCAAGCCCTCCAAGGCAAAGTCCTTGCCCGTGAACTTGTCCATCCCCTCCACTTCACAGAGGTGCACCTGGAGGGGCACAAGGGGCAGCCATTACCTCCGCTGACTGACAGCCTCTGCTGGCCCCCACAGACTGAAAGGAGCCTTGCCTGAGCCCTACTCAGGGCAGGTCCAGCACACACTCACCTCCCCAAACTGGCCTTCCCCCAGCTTCTCCTTGAAGGTCAGCAGCTTCCTGGGGAACTCCTCAACAGCCACGTCCTTACCAGAGAGCAGGTCCATGGTGAGGGCCGGCACTGAGTAGGTGTTGCCGCCTGTCACACCCTGCAGGTTCACGATGTCGGCCTCGGCGTAGTGGGGGACACCCTCTGGGACACTGGTTTGAGATGGCTTCACAGGGCCACTGCAGCCTGGGGAGGTACAGCAGGGCCAGCCCTGCCATCGGTGTCCTGCCCTGCACCCTCGGCTCATGCTCCAGCCACTGGCTTCTTCATCCCAGTCCTCCCCAGAGCCCCTGTACTGCACCAGCATGGCTGGGCTCCTGCAGACACCACAGGATGCTCTGATCCTTCCCCATGACTGACAAATGCACCAAGCCAGCCCCAAGTACCAGCTGAACAGCGATCACTGCCCAACCTCCAGGTCACTGAGAAAGAGAGGCCAGAGCATCCCAAGGATTGTGGTGGGGACAGAGCACAGCCTGGCACTGATGTTGGCTCAGCCCCAGGCTTTGTATGACATCTGAGAGGAGGATGTGCAGGAGCTTGTGTGACCTCCCCCTTACTTCTCTGTGCCAAAATGTTTGGGGGTGGGGAGCTGCTGGGAAGCAGGCTTGATGCAGGCTCTAAGCACGAGTATCCCCCAGCTCTCACCCGTGTCCTCCTCCGCCGCTGTGAACTCAGGCAGCTTGCGGATCAGGCGGGAGGGCTCCTGGTAGTCGGGTCCCAGGGGGAATATGCGGTCATAGGTGGAGCTGGACTCCTGCTCGCTGGAGGAGGAGGAACGGTTGTGGTTGAACATGCTGGATTCGCTGGGCAGGGAGAGGCTGACGGTCATTTCGTCATCCAGCATCCTTCGTGATGCCTGAGAGAGGGGGTAAGGGAGGAGAGAGCTGGGACAGGGATCCCCTGCAGGACTGGTGGGATGGGGTATTCTGTGCTACATGGCACCATGGCCGTGCCCAGCCCCAAGCTCCCCTCTCTAGTGCCCTGTTCCAGGGCTGCAGCACCAGTCTGGGAAAGATATTTGTCCTGATGTACCCCCCTTGTATTATCTGCCTCTATGGCAAAGAGTTGGGTTTCATCACTTCTGTGACTGCTCTCGGTTACCCAGGGCTGCAGTGAGACCCCCATGGGCTCCTCTTTCTCAGCCCAGCTTCCGGACAGAGGGATGGAAAAGCATGCAGGTCCCAAAGTCCCCACTTTGCTAAGCTAAATCCCCTTGCTTGGGAGATGGGTGCAAACCACAGCCTTCCCTAGGACAAGAAGGAACCATCAGACCCTGCATGGAGTCTGCTTTCCCTGTACTGAGCTCCCAGCAGAACCTGCCCAGGATGAGCCCACTGCCCCTGGTACCTCAACAGCCTCCCAGGTGCTTGCCCACCTTCTCCAGCATCTTCTGCCAGAACTGCCTCCACAGTATGATGACAATGATGGCCACCAGGATGAAGATGATAGCCACCAGGCACCCGATCAGGATACGTGTGTTGCTGTCGTCCATCTTGAGCATGGGGTCTGGCAGGAGAAAGGGACAGCAAGAGTCAGTCATGCTGGGCTTTGGGGAGAGCCCCTGCCGCTTTCTTCCATCAGATGAGGCAGAGCTTCCCTGCCAGAGGATCTCCCTACCCAGCTCAGGGTGATGTGCTTTTCAATGCCCTACCATAAGTGGTGGGAACCATGGGCACCTCAGGGGGGACCAATGAGTTGTTGTACATGGCTGCATCTGGCAAGGGAAAAGAGGGGAGTATCAGGGTGAGAGGCATGCATGGGTGCCCCACAGCCCCACTTTCTCCATGAACATCCCCCCTGGAGGGGACAGTCCTCGTGGGGCTCATGGTGGTGGGTACCCGACTGGAAGGTGATCTCGCTGAACATCATCCAGGCGTCAGCAAAGTAGTACTGGCACTTGATGGCGCTGGCCATGCGGTGGAGCAGAGGCACGGTGACAAAGCGGGCGCTGGGGTTCACGTCATCCAGCACCAGCACTGAGGAGACGGCGCTGGGCTCCCACTCACTGGCATCAGCGCGGAAGTAACACTGCACCTCCTTGAAGATCTTCACCCCTTTGGCAAACATGTTGTTGCAGTGGACCTGTGGGGCAGCCCGTCAGTGTGGCCATGGTGGGGGACAGGGACAGGGTGCAGGTGGGGGGCATGCGGACCTTCATTGCGGTGAAGTTCCTGATGCGGTCAAACTCAAAGGTGATCTCCACATAGCCTCCAGCCGTGCTCTCATTGCGCCAACCAACGTAGTCATAGCCCGGCCAGACGTGGTACTCGTGGGTCTGCGTGAAGTCATCCAGCCCCGACACCCCATCTGTCAGCTGGCCTAGGCCCTCTGTCATGCTGGTGTGTGTGAGGGGGGAAAGGCAGCATGACTCTCGCCAGCCCCACAAACCTGCCTCCACCCAGCATCCCCCCCAGCAGCTCCTCACAGCCCCTGGGAAACTCTGGAGGCAGTTTTGGTCCTTTTGATGTTCTCTCTGGAAAAGGCTATGGGATGCTGAACGTACAGTGCAGTTAGTGTAAATCCAAGAGAAGGGATGGGGGTGCTTTCCCCATCATGCTGAACCCATCATGATGTGCAACCTCCCAGAGCTGGCCATGTCCCCTGCTTCAGGGAGACCCCAAATATTCGCTCTGCTGAGGGTCAGCACATCAGCCTGCCAACACAGGGAAGAAACACTCCCATCCACTCCTGCCCACTGCAGCACCCACAGCATGCACAATCTCACTCAGGCCTCACCTGTACCCGAATGCCCCATCATACACCGAGTCGTTCAGGTAGATGACAGTGCCCCCAGGAAGGATGAGCTGCTGCCCAGCTGGTGCATTGTAGGACACCAACCCGTCTGCAGGGAGGGCAGGGTAAGTGGCTGCCCATGCCAGACACCCAGTTGCTGCTGAGCTTGGGCCAGCCCCTAGTGGGATGGACAGCCCCCAGTGGGACAGACAGCCCCCCAGCTGGACTCTGGGGACAGGCATAGGACTGCACCACGCACCCAGCCAGACGCAGCCGTACACCTCCACACGCAGGCAGACATTCATGGAGTGGTCAGTGACGGGGATGAAGCGGATGAACCGGGCGATAAGGGGTGGCTCCAAGTCCTTGAGGACGATGTCATAGGGGTTGGAGTTTCCATCCAGCACCTGGGCAGAAGAGCATGGTGGGGATGGGCAGGTGCAGACCCCACCATCCACCCTGTGCAGCCCCGTCCTGCTTCCTCACCTGCTTCCCATGCCGGTTCCTCCAGGAGATCCAGCGAGTGCCATCCCGGCTGTAGTTGATCTTATACATGGGAGCAAACTCATTGCCATGGCCCCCGGCGTGGCGTCCCTGGGTGCCCACCAGCGTGATGAAGTGCAGGGCACGCAGGTCTATCTGCAGGAACTCCTTTAGGTCATCGGGCTCCACTGGGACCTCGGGACACCAGGCTCCATCACCATCCTCTGAGTCCAGCCTGCAAACCAAGAGCACAGGAGCCATTTGCAGGTGGCCAAAGCCAGCCCCATGTCCCCCTTCTGCCCCTCCATGAAAGCTCAGAAGACCCTGCTGTGGCTGTCACAGAAGAGTCCCATACTTACCGTCCATACTTGGCAGCTGTGGACTCAGACCACTGGCTGGATGCTGAGATGTCCTCATCGGGGATGTGCCCACCTGACATTCCCAGGGGGTACCGGCACACAGCTGCAATGAGACCATTGGGGTACTGAGCAGGCATCCCTCCTTGCCTCCCCGGCAGAGAGAAGTGCTGAAATATGGCCTGACACTGCCAGGGCTGGGCACACCCACAGTGCCGCAGCACCACAGACCGGGCAGCTCAGGCACAGCGCTCTCCATGCCTCAGGCTTACGGAGTGGGGACAAAGCACTATGGGATGGTCCTGGACAGTCAGGTACTGCCTAAGTAGATGGAGCCAAGGGTCACAAGTGAATGCCAGCGCAGCCTGAAGCAAAGCTGGGAGCAAAGGTAAGGAGTGCTCCAAGGTCTGCTCGGACACACCTGGTCCCTGTCCCCAGAGATCCCTTCAGCCTTGCTGGCAAGCATTCAGCTGCGGTGGAGGGAGAGCCTGTGGGTTGGCACTGCTGTCCCCACACTCATTCTGGGGGGTACCCGGTGGGCTCATTCCAGAGGCCACTTGCCCCAAAAAAACAGCTGCAGCAACCTGTTCTTGGCCGTTCTGCCCCACTGCTCCCTCCACCTGCCGGGGGGATGACAAAGGTGGGCACTCACCCTCCCTGCTGGCCCTGTGGCTCCCATCATCAGCCCTGCTCCCTGCCCAGCTGTGAGTGGAAAAGTACCCAGGGTGTTGAGTGGGCTGCATCCCCGAGCGGCAGCCAGTTTCCCCGACACCGCATCCACACCGCTTCGCAGGAGTTATTTTCTCACTCCCAGCTGCCAGGAGCGCTGCTCAAAGGCCGGCTTGTTTGGCCTGTTTACCATCTGGCCACTGGCTCCAGCCCGCAGCGCTGCCCCTGCACGCCGCCCCGAGCAAACACCCGCACCAAGGTGGCAGGGCCAGGCCAGGGGGCGGGCTTGGGGCTGCCCCTGCCACAGCAGCAATGAGCCCCAGTGCGCGGTGCCACCTAGGGCAGCCAGCTCCCATCCCCGGGTGCCTGTGCCACCACAACAGAGAGGGACCATCTCCTATATCCAACAGAGGGGTGGGCACATCTTCAGCATGAGCACAGTGGGGAGCATCTTCTCTTGTCTCCATCTCTCCCACCACTCTCAACACTCTTCTGAGGCTCTGCAGAGTGCAGCTCCATTTTCCCATTTGATTCTTGACAAACATAAAGCCAAGCCCAGCTGCTTTGCCCTGGGTATAAAACAACCCTGGCCAGGCAAAGCCAACACTGCCAGCCCTGGATGGCTGCGGAAGAAACAGGATTGCTTTCCTAAGCACTGTGCAACCTCTGGGGAAGACCCAGCAAACTTCCCACGGATGGAAGAAGCCTTTGAAGGGACTTGTCACAGGGATACCCCAGGGAAACCCTGACGCACTGAAGGAGCCTGGGCTGTGTGTCCACCCCTGCAACACAGGACGGGGCCGAGCCCTTCCAAAACAACCATTTAAATACACTTCTCTTGCTGACGTCCGGAGCAGTGTTGTGGTTTCTGAGCAGAAGCCAGGCACCTAGTTAAGCTGCTTCACTGAAGCCAACCTTGGTTTGTTGGGAAACCACCAAAGAAAGCACGTCCCAGCAGCAAACAATACCCTGGTGCCTTCCTTCTGCACGCTGCAGCCTCAAAACTGAGCAGGCCTGATGAGCCCCTAATGGAGAAGGGCCCTGTGCAGAGCCCAGGGCTCCAGCTGCAGGGCTTTGCTCATACCTCAATGTCCCTCCATCCTGCCAGTGCCAGGACAGTTGCCTGTGGCACACAGAGGATGCTTTCTTGGTCATGGGTGGTGGCTGAGCTGTGTGCAGGGCAGCAGAGAGCCCAGGCAGGCATGGCCTTGGGGGCCGTCACACACTGCTCCCAGAGATGGTGCAGATGATGTGAGCCCAAGCTCAGACACCCTGGAAAGAGCACAGCTCCTGCAGCCTGGTTCCCATCTCCCTTACCTGGGTTGACCTGGGCTCTCGTGGCCTGCAGGACACACAGCAGCAGCAGGGCTGGTCTGGGGCAGACCGGCATGTCGGCAGTCCTGCAGAGACAGGGAAGTCCTCGTCACACTGAGGCAGTGAGAAATGCCGGTCCCGCTTGGGGTGGCCAGCCGAGGATGGGAGGGCTTCCCCGGCATGAGTGTCCCACCTCAGCCCCGGAGGAGAGCAGAGCCCCAGCCCCCACATCTGTGATGGTGGTCAAAGGGGTCCCAGTGTCCATCCCCTCGGCCACCAGCTCCCCAGGAGCCATGGCACACTGCACCCCTGGAGCTGGCCACATGAGCTGGGCGCAGGATGCGCATGAACCTCCCAGGGCTCTGCTTGGGGTTGGCTCCGTGGACGGGCAGAAATGCTCCGGCTGGGCCGCTCTCTTTTGGATGGCTTTGAAAGCAAGACGTTGCACAACCCCATCATGAAACAAAATAATAGCCCGTTGCAACACTCAGTTTTCCTGCCTTCTGGCGCAGGAGAGGTAATAGCAGGTAATCACTGAGATTCATACTGTTTTTAGTGACTGATCTCGAGCGGATCTCCAGGACATGCGTGACACAAAGTACGGGCATGGGAGCCAGCTTGCACATGGTGCCTCTAGGGCAATGTGGGATGGGGCTCGTGGGGACCTGGGGGCCATAGAATCGTAGAATACTTACGGCTGGAAAGGACCTTAAGATCATTGAGTTCCAACCCCCCTGCCACGGGCAGGGACATCTCACACTAGAACAAGTCACTCAAGGCCCTGTTCATTCTGGCATCCCTTATTTGCCAAGGGGACATTTGTTCTCCTGGGATAGCCCTTAACACAAGCACTGGATGCAGATTAGACCTCTTTTTATTAAAAAAGGATATTTTAATCTTGTTTGCATGCAGATTAACCTTTGCAGAAACAATTTACTAACCTGGGGGTTAAAAAGACCATAGGACCTGGCCAAATGGGACCTGGCTGCGTTTGAATGCTGGGATAAATCCCATCTGAATCCTATCACACCAGGGATGGCTGGGCTGGCAGGTCCTCAAGTTGGCCCAACACCAGCAACTCTGCAGGCTCATGCCTGCTTGTGGGGACCTACAGCCTTGTCTCTACTGCCAAGAGAAAACCGAAATCCACCCTGAACCAGTTGCCACACATCAAATGTCCCCATCCTGTGCAGCCCAGGTGGGAGATGCTGGATATGGTCCTGCTTGCTGGCAAAGCTGGGGCTTGCCACTGCGGGAGTGAGGCAGGCTTCCTCTGCCCATGTCAGCACCCAGGTGAGCACAAAGCACTGGGAGCTGCCTCCCGCATCCTGCTGCTGGGTTCACCGGAGGCCTCTGCTGAACATGAGGAGGTACAAATGAACACCCCAACTTAAGGTGACTTTCGGTGATTTTTTCCCTATTTTGTTTTAAAGCACACATGCAGTTTGCTTCTTTTCTATTCCCAGCTGGGAACGTTTAGTTAGCTGCAACTAACTCAGCTGCAACTGGGAATTTCAACCGCATCGCTGAGAGGCACACTCAAAGCTCCTGCGTTTGATGATGACCAGTTCCCCCAGCATAAAAATCTCAATTTCCTTCTGCATTCCAAAAAAACTATCCAGGGATATTTTTTCCCACTATTCTTACAGGCTGAGTAAACTCTTTCAGCATCAGGATACCAGATGCCATACTCTCCCACAGGAAATGCATTTAAATTTAGTCTAATATAGGGAAAACTTCCCTGCGCAGCCACTGTGGCTCCTTGGGGGAGCAGGGCTGGGGGACACCAGGGAGATGGTGACTCGGGCGCTGAGGTTGAGGCCCAAGGCTGCATGGTCAAACTGGCCAAGCGGCATTGGCAACCCGGCTGGAAATCCTTTTTGTTCCGCCGGCCCCGCACAAGGGATGGCTTTGCAGTGCTTTGTCTGAAAACATTTGCTGAAGACTCTCAATCACTGGAAAGTTTTAGCACAGAGAGTTTCTGGAGCTCCTCCCTGGCGTCGCATGGCCTTGGGAGCTTCCCTCAAACACTACTTTTATTTCCGCTCCCCCTTCTTATTTTCCCCTTTCTTATTCTGCTGAAATCACCAGGGAAAAATTAGCAGGAAAAGAAATGAAATGCACATTTGTTTAGAAACAAATCACACCCAGGACACGGTCCCTCTCACTGCCAACCATGCCGGATGGTGAAGTTCCCAGCTCGCTTCCCAAGTGGGCACTGCCATCCTCACCAGCACTGGAGGAGTACCATCCATCTGAAAGGGGCTGGATGGCAGTAGTCCATACCCTGAACATCCCAGGTCCTGCATGTGGGTCTCCCAGGGCTCCTGTTGCAGAGCCCAAACCCTTGCACAGGGCTGGGGTCTCCCCTCCTGCTGGGATGGCGGGCAAGTGGGACACAGAGAGGCCACGCTGGAGGGAATGTCCCTGAGAGGCAAGAGGCTCTCCCTGACCCTGGCTCATGACCAAAGGCATGCAGTGTTTTGGTGAGGGGGTTTGGGACCCCTACCCCAGTTGGCACTACAGCCCCCAGCATGCTGTGGCGGCAGCGCAGACTCGGCAGGAGCGCAGAGCAGCATGCCGGGATCCGTAGTCCTCTTCCACTCCAAAAATGCCATTTTAGACCTTCTCTGGGCTGGATGCAGCCCCATTTTCTCCAGCAGCAAGCACCTCCCCAGCCACAGGCTGGCAAGCTCAGCCGGGGCATCACAGCCGTACAGGGTGCAAGAAGTGGCCGGCACATCCTTGTGGCTGCCAGCAGCACAGCCCATGGCCATGGGGGCAAAGTCCTGTGGGTCCTGCACCCAGCAAATGCTCCCCACCAGAGGAAACCTTGCATTCCTCCTCCCAGCTCTGTGCCACAGTGTCATCCCACCACAGTGTGGGGCTGAGAGCATCGCTCCTCCGTTGTGCAGGGATGGGAAGCTACAAGTGGGTCCCCAGCACCAGGATTTGGGGCAGGATGCTCAGCAGCACCAGACAGGTGGCCCTGTGTCTGCTCCCCAGTGTGACCTGATACCTGGCTGGGGTACCCTGGGGACAGCAGGGCCTCTCTGGCTGGAAGCACTGCCACGGGCTCTGCCAATAGACACACAGGCAGGAGCCGAGGACAGACACCAGGAAACGCTGGCTTGGCATGGGACAAGGGGGAAAGCGCTGGCAGTGGGGAGAAAACTGGAGAGAAGGGGCTAACGTCACCTCCCCAGGTGGAGATGCTCCCCTGCTGCTGCCCCAGCCCCTTCCCAGGCAGACCCATACCCCAGCCGCTCTGCCGCGGCTCACGGCCAACCCTGTGTCCCCCCAAAACCCCAAGCGTGGGGCAGCAATTGCCCCCCAGGCACCTCAGAGGGACTCACCGGAGCGGTGGCGGGCGGGCTCCTCGCCCCTCACCCTGGCAGGGGGAGCCAGGCGAGGAGCAAACTTCCCCGGGCTGATGCAAGATGCCTCTGGGAGCGCGCTTGCATTCTGCGGATTCCTGGGAGCCAGCCAGAAATCCCACAATCCTACATCTTGCACATTTGGTTTCAATTAGGGAGCGGAGAGGGGGAGCCAGTCACCAATCCAGGCTGGCTTTTCGGCAGAGGTTATTTTCCTCAGCCCGAGGGAATGTGTGCAAAGCTATAATTTACAGCAAAACCCATTCATAGCGCGGGAGAAAAAATAAAAAGCTCCCCATGGCCGCTGGGGGAACTTAAAGCAAAAGGCAGTGTTTTGCTTTCTGGCACTCACGGGATGGCACACATGTCCGGGACCGTCCTCTTGCACCACAGGGTTCAGGGGCCAGGCAGGACACCCCCAAAATGCCAGCTATGGGGTACTCCATAAGGCCCCATTGCTAGCCTGGAGGGTCCTGCATGGGCTGTCCCGCTCAGGGCCCCAGGTGGGAAGGAAGCCGGGTTCCTGCATGGGCATATGTGGCGAGGCCACTGTCCAGAGTGCCGGCCTGCCCAGGCACGTGGCGCGGAAGCAGCGCTGGCAACCCGGGCTGCACGCTGAGCTCGTGGTTTTACATCACTTCCAGGCACTAGCTTGGCAGCGTGGCCACGGACTGTGCAACGCGGCAGGGAGAAAACAATCACCATCATGATCAGCTCACGCTGGTTTTTGTGCAACAGCTAAATGCAATTGAAAACAGATTTAAAAGGTAATTATTTTTCTTTCAGATTAGTTTTGGCTGTATTTTATGCCAGCACCCACACTGCTGTGGCAGGAAAGCTGCACCCCAGCAGCAGGCCAGTGGCTCCCAGTAAGTGCTCTTGTGAGCAGGGCACCCCACAGCCCCAGGGCTGTAGCCTTGTTGCTAAAACAACCTCCTTGCCAGACTCCTGTCCTGCCTGCTCTCCAAGCAATAAAACAAGGCGCTGGTGCCCTTGCTGCTGCCAGGAGAGAGCAGCTGTAATGCCAGCCCAGTCATGGGTGCGACGAGAGGCATGGCAGCAGGGCGCAGCAGGCAAGGCAGAGCACCTCCGGCCTGGCAGGGAGGGCAGGCAGGAGCAGGTTAGTGCAATGCCTGCTGCAGGGCTATGCACCAAGCCCTTGCTGCCCTACGTGCACACTGGCACAAACAGTGGCCAGCTCTCCTCCACCCCTGCTACCTGTAATTAGCACTCCGATAACTTGGCAGCACCCAGCATCGCATTGCTCTATCCCAGGACATCCTAATGCGAAGGTGTTGGTGTGTAAACAGAGCCAAAAAGCCAAAGGAGTGGTGATCCCCCCTGGTTCACCATGCAGCCCTTTGTTCCTGCTCAGCATTCCCCCAATGTGGGCCATGCTGTGCTCCAGTTGCTGCCTGCTCCATGCCAAGAAGGAGCAGCTCCCCAAGGACCAGAGGTGTCCCTTCCTCACAGCAGCTGCTCCCAGGGTTTTTCAGAGCTGGTGGGCAGGGGGAGGTGGTGCAGACCACAAGACCACCCGCAGAAGCACTCTGCTCCAGCTCCTCACTCTGGCCCCCATCCCGGGCTGTCTCCCCTGGGACCCACAGCCGCCAGCCTGCCTTGGCCACACACAGCCCAGCTGGCCCACGGTGAGCCACCAGCAGCCACCTGCACTGGCCAGGACCCCCCACATGGCCCCCGCTTCCCAGGCACACACTGTGTGCAGAGCAGAGTGCTCAGCTGAGCTTGGGGTGCCCAACAGCCACCATGGCACTCAGCAACTTGGCAACTTCTCCAGCAGGGAGCAATCTGAGCCCCAGTTTCAGCCCTGCAAGGGTAAGTTTCTCCCAAGCAGCCACAGAGCAGTGGGTGGCTGCGCACCCCCACACCAGAGGCTATGGCAGGACTCGAGCAGGAGAGGATCTGGCCAAGCACCATCTCCTCTCCCAGACAGGAGGTGAAGCAGTAAGAGCTGCTCTGCCTGAGGGCATCAGGACACCATGCTCTGGGGCAGAAGCTGAGGAGCCCTCCCCAGGCAAGCAAAGGGCAGGTGGTGCTGCTGAAGGACACCAGGCTGGGCTGGGTGCACCCTGAGCACTCCAGCAGCGCAGCACACATGCCTGTTCATACCTGCTTAAGGCTTGCCACTGTTTGCAGAAATTCAAGAGGAAAGTGAAGCTCTGCTTCCTCCAGAGACACCCCAAAGAAGCACTGCAGGCCAGAGGACCTGCCTGCAGCAACCCCTGCTGTGCTGGGCAGAGCAGGGCACTTGGCATGGCACAGTCAGACCTCTACTCCACAAGATCCTCTGTGAAAAGTCACCACCATTAAAACACCACCAGATGGTAGACAGGAGGGACTCAAGAGTTTAATCAGGTGCTTCCAGTTATGCAACGTACAAAGGATGACCAAAAGGGAGGACTGGGGCAATGACAAGGACCCTATTAAAAAAAATAATCATGTAGATTTGAGAAAAATAAAAATTCAAGATTAACCCCAGCCCCGTACCATAAAAATCCTCTGCATGTACAATGAATATTACTATATACATGTTTAAAAATAAATGCCCACAGCCTGGAGTGCAGAGAGCAGTGCCGTAGCTGTGCTTTGTGGCAGGGGAATCCATAAAGTGTTTGGTTTTTAAATTAAAATATAAATAGATGCATACAACGTGCTAAGAACCGAGTGGGTTACATCCTCCTCTGCACAGCGCCAGAGCAAGCAGGACCAGCCCAAGAAGGACAAGCCCCTACCAGTTACAGCTATAAACCTTCATGTGTCCAAATCCCCAGCCCACCAGGAGGGACGGGCAGCCTGGCTTGGGCACTGTGTTGCTGCTACACTCCGTTCTTCACCAGCTCGTGGATCCCATCCTCGTCAATAATTAAAGGTGCACAGAACTCTCGGCCCTTCACATACTTTTCCAGACCCTAAGGGAAGACAAAGCAGCTCGTCAGGAACATACCATATGTCACTTGCCCTGTGGACCTGCTGAGCTGCTCCGCAGGTGGCTCTGCCCCCCTCCCATGCTAGCAGCTTGGGGAACTCTGCCTTGAAAATCTCCACTGTGAATTCAAGTCATGCTTTTGTGGCTTACCGCCTCCCCAGAGTGCCCTGCCAGCCTCCCCACCCTGCACGGGTGCCCAAGCTCTGAGGAGCCAGTACTCACCTCTCCTCCATAGGAGATGAGGGGAGAAATTTCACACTGGATTGGCAGGTCATTTGCATCCTTCAAGCTGCAGAGAAAAGTAAGGTCAGGAGGGTTAACTACATCCTGCCATGGGAGCAGATGGGGCCCAGAAGTCTCGCAGGCGCCAGCACAGGGGTCAGCGCTGTCTGGGGCACCAGTGGCTGCTGTCCCACACAGACCTCACCAGTGCAGAGCTACCCAGGGTTAGTCAAGCCTCGAGTGCTCTCCATGGAGCTGCAAGCTAATGTTTAGGTATCAGCAGCGACTGAAAGGAAAGAGAGCTTTAGATGCAGCTTTACTGAGGGTTTACATGCCTTCCCATGTGTGCAACTACAGCAGCGCCTACACCCCTGGCCTGGATCCCAGCCCCGCTGTATTTGATACCGCATGCAAGCCAGTCACCCCTTCCTCCTTCTTCCTCTTGCATCCCTGGTGATGAGATGCACTTGTGGCACCTTTCTGTTCGGTTGGTCACAACAGGTCTCTTAAAAAACACTTCTTGTTTAAAGCACAACCTGAAGACGCAGGGTAAGGCTTGCTCAGAAACACTCCCAGTGGAACCAGCTTCTCCTTCTGCTTTTGCCTCTTAGATCAATTATCCAGCTCCTCTGTTCTGCACACAAACCTGAGCTGGTGAGGACGATGACAGACCCACACCAGCACTGCCTACCACAGCCTAGCCCCAAAACAACCACAGCAGCACTGCTGGGCAGGGGTCTACGTGGTGTCCCTGACCCTGCTCCTGCTGCCACAAGCATCTGTAGATGCCACAAGCATCCCCAGATGCTCCCTTGATCCAACCAGTGTTTAAGCCTGGCCAGGTGGAGCAAAGAAAGAACACCAGGGTACCGTTTTGCACCTGCTCACCACCACAGCCAGAGAGGGCACAGGACATCATCTGTGACAACTCTTCCTTCCCCAGGACAAAGCTTGTCCCTGCTGCCACACGCTCACTCAGTTGCTTCCTGTCCCAGCTGTGAGTAAATAGAACTCACCCACCCTAACCCAGCCCTTGCACTTGTGCTTGCCTTGGAGTCAGATTCCTCTCAAAATTGAAAAAATAAAAATAAAAGATAATGCCGTTAACTGGAAATGAAGGACAAATGTAGGATAAAGTGCATCCTTTATCCTACATTATAACTAGTGTGATAGCCTATTATAAGCACGGAAGCACTTGGAGTCTTGAATTAAAAATAGAGACCTTAGTTGTATCCCACCAGAAGATACAACTTCTCCTGAAGGGGAAGAAAAAGCAGCAAGCTGGCTTAGTCTGGAAGTCATTTACTTACCAGCTTCAAGTCCCAGCCCCACAGATGTGCCCTGTGGCACAGAAAAACACACTGCTATTAGAGAAGTTGCTTTAATACTTCTGTCAACTTCCCTGTTTACTTCTATAAACTTCCAAGAGTCGGGGAACTTTCAGGAGTCAGGGTCTGGATCTTCAAAACTCAAGAGCTGCAGCCACACAAAGCGCAGCTGGCTGCCTGTGCTGAGGTCTGCACAGGCTACGTCAAAGCCTGCTTAACGTTTACTTGGTGTTCTTAATTTCGTGTCAATCTGGCAGGCACCAGGAGACGGCAGCTGTCTCCAGCTACAGGACTGGACAGGGTGAGTCCGGGCTGTGCTGCACCACAGCATGACGAACGGGGAGTGTCATTGAAGGGACAGGCCAGTGCATTTCTCATCAGCATCCCTCCTGCGTAGTGACCTCTGGGGGCTGCACAAAGACAGCAGCAGGCTGCCTGCATCTGTACCAATGGCACAAGCTCCTTCCAGTTATCCCCACCTGCTGCCTCTCTGGAAAGGAGCCCAGAAGGGAGCAGACCCTGCCTGCTCACAGCCCGCCACCATGAGATGCGGCATCCACAGAGTCCTACAGTGAGACATGCCCCACTCCCAGCATGCAGCCCAAGCACCCTGCCCCATTAGTCACTATGGGCACCTGCTCACCAGCACGCACCCATCACAGCAACCACAGCCTGGCACACCGCTTCGCCTATAGCTTGTTAGTACCTAAGCACAGCCCCGCCACCATGCAAGCTGCACGGTATAGTTACTTGTCATTGACATCTGCTGGGGTGGCATCTGACCTTCCGTTTGTGACACTACGTGGGAATAAACATGGGTTAGCAAAGGTGGGAAACCACAGATAGGGTTTTCTGTTCTCCAAACAGGAGTTGTGGAGGGTCTCTTGATCAAGGGATGCTGTGACCCCAGCCTGTCTGCTGCACAGATCTGCTGGTGTGGTTGGGCTTTAGGAAGCCACCTTGTCCCTGCATGGGCAACCTTGGCTGTGCAACAGAGACCAGCGGGATTTGATTCACACTGAATCAAGAAGGAAAGCTCCTGATGAACAAGTGCCCCTGTGGTGGCCACCACCTGGCCCACCCACGAGAAGGAACCCACAGCTGGTTGCTCCAGCAGTGCTGGTTTCAGAAGCACTGAAATGGAGAAGGGCTGCAGACTGTCCAGTGCTTGACACCCAACCCAAAAAGGATGCAGGAGCACTGGGAGTAGCAGCTCACCGAGGGATGGCGGGGATGCGAGTGCCGTTTTCATCCACAAAGTGTCCCCCTGCATTGAGAACCCAGCAGTGGTGCAGGGACATCAAGGCTTGTCGGGCGGTTGTGGGGTTGTCCTTGCCATTCTGGCTGTCTGCATTCTTCAGGGGAGAAAACTCATCCTCACGCAGCACCTCATACACTACAAACTTCCTGGTGGAGGAAAAGGGGTAGGAGGGTCAGGTTTGGGAAGTGCTCTTCCCTGTCACTTCAGCTTCCTCCCTGCCAGGGTGGCTGAGCTGGGGCCACAGTAGCT